ATTCCTGCTCCATGTTTGTTGGAATCTCTGCAAAAAAATGGTTTCTTTGCTAAGATTTCCTGAAGGTTTTCTAAGTTATAGATCATCAGTGGTTTGAATCAGTCTATTGGAATCACTGTTTGTTGGAACTTCACAAAAAGCAGCAGTGAAGGGACTGGCTCCCACCTCTGTCCCTACAGTCTCACAAAGAATCCCATTTACAGTAGTGTATCTCCAAATCTGTTTAAAACTAGGTATCATATTATCTCTGTGTTATATATGGTACCTATTTTTGCATTGGAACTCTAAGGCAAAGGAAGGTAAAAGTACTACATCAAGACAAATAGAATAGTAGGGAATGGATGCCCTTCCAATTCGAAAAGAAAAATCCTGCCTGGCATGCTGTGATATAATAGAGAATTCATTTTATTTACTAGATGAATATACAACATGAGTAATGACCTGTTAATCAGTAAAACAGGAAAAAATAGCAAAAGAAAAACTTCTTTCAAAGTGTTTACTGACTTAGCAGTCTAACAGTCTTATCTCCCTTCCTCAGCTGTGTTTTCTGAGTCAGCAGTAGTTAAATTTTCCAGCAAGTCCTACATGAAAGAAAGTGTAAAGAGTGATTAGGGATTTCCAGTCAGTGACCTCACCTTTGAGTGGGACAGTCAACACATTTGCTCTGACATTCTTTCTATGAAGCAGTGCAGTGACAGCTGAAGTTGCTTTCAAGAAGTCATCTCAAAGGTGGTCTGACAGTATCCAATACCTCAACTTTTCTTAGCACAGGAGACAAATCACCTTGAATTTCTTAATTTTCCAAGTTGGTGACAATGGCAACCTATTTTGGAGTTACCTCAGCAGTGTTTTTCGTCTGGGTTATGACATTCATGGCTCAAAATTACTTTATAACAGGTATGTAAAGTTCCACTTTTTAAAGTCTCCTAGTTGAACAGTAAAGTACTTTAAAAAGTAGCTAGATTTGCAAACAATAATGGGGGAAAGGGAGCATGTGTAAATGTGTTTCGGGCATAGGAAACCACAGGGTTTTGAGAATACAGTGCAATGAAAGATACTCTAGCATATAGGGGAACTTTCATTGTTAGTCTAACTTAATCCTGTCTAAATGCTGTAGCATTATTGTCTAAATGCTACAGAACTGCTTGTTTTAAAGATTTGGTATTGCATTTAGGATTAAGTTCAGATCTATTGAAATGTGATTTTATTTTGTATTATTTAAAATACCACAGCAAACAGTTTTGTACAATCCTCAGAGAGCAAAACATGCATGAAACCAGTTCTGTGTGTCTGTGATAAAATGCTATCTTTAATGCAACGTGTTTTGCTCTGATTTGGCAATATCCTGACACTGTCTTGATTTGCAACATTGAAGGAAATGTGTGGCAGGGATCTCGCAGTTCATCTCCAGGGCAGTCATGCCTGCCTCCAGTTAATACAATGCAAAAGTTCCTATTTTGTATAAACTATCTGTTTGAAAAAATTAACATAGGGACTTCCCAACATCAACTTTATCACACAGTTCTTAGATAACCGTCCTCCCTCAAACATTATTCTATGAACCTATTTTTTCAATCAGGGTCATATAATACCCCTTTTTTCTATACGTTAGTGAAATTTGAATGTCGTCTTCAAATTCCACGATCAACTTGATGCAATCTATTCTAACTGCAGTAAGCTACTAGGATATCTGCAGATACTCAATGTGCATCAGGTGTTTCCAGATGTTTCACTGTAATTTGCAAGGAGTAAATATTTGTTCTACCTATATAAAAGAACATACACCATCGTTGCAGACAATTGAATTTCTTATCTACTGAAAGGCTTCTGAAGAAAACCTGGCCTGAGTGAATTAGATGCTCAACTCAAGTCCTATTGAAATTCCACAGGATTGGAGTACCTAACAACAGTAGTCTCCTCCAGCAATCCCAACCACTGAATAATTTTTACTGGGGAAATGGAGAGCTTGAGTCTTAAGACTATTCTTCGAGCTGTTAGGACTCCCCTTAGTTCACCTCTAAGCCTCCCTTGGGGTACCTACTTATGCACCCTCTGCTCGTTGGTCCAAGAGCTCCAGTTAAGCTCAGGGCTGATCTCCAGCTGTGTCTTTGAGCTGTGTTGTAGCATTCCCTGTCCCCTCCTGTACTGACTGGGCTTCATGGATGGACTCTGGACTTAGGTTGTAGGTAGCCTTGTCTCCAGGATGGACTTCAGGCATATGTTATAGATAGCACCATCTTCTGCTGTTCCCAAATGGACTTTCTGGATGAACCCTGCACCTGACTCATTGTCTTGCTTTCTCTGGGGCTGCCAGTGAAACCTGCCACTGTCACCACCATCCTGTTCAGGTGCTGTGGGACTGTGCGCTGGTCAGTGAGGGCACTGTCCTGCCTGTGCTGTTCTCACCCTTGGCTCCTGGCTCCTCTTTCCTTGTGGAACAGCATCATTCTTGCTGCTCCCTGAGGTCAGCAGCCAAAGGAAACTCTCTCTAATAAATCAGAGTGAAGGCTTGGCGGAAGGCAAAAAGATAAACAACAGCTTCCCCAAAAAAGCAAGAAGAGAACTAACGCACAATAAAGCCAATACCCGTAGCTTACGAAAATTGAACAATTTTCTTCCTTTGACAACTTTGTCTTGTTTGAGATTCTTCTGTCTAGGTCTTCCCACCTTTCTCAGTAAAACAGATTTTTCACACAAGACCCAAATACTGAGGAGAATGTCCCACTATTAGTAGGTTAACTAAATAGAGCAAAGCTTAAAGTACAGCTATGTGCAGCTTGTGGACTAAAAAGTATAATATGCTTCTAAAGGATTAGTCTGTCTCTTGTACAAACTCAGTCATCTTTAGAACAGAGTTCAGAGGTGATTTAAGAAGTGATGAAAAGACTTGAAGAGGCTACTGTTCTCTTTCTGGATTTCTTCCTCACATTGTAAAACCATCTGGAATTGAGATTGAAGCTGATAACTTTTCCAAAACATTTCTTTTACTTCACCGTTTTAAAAGGCTTAGCGAATTCTAACTTTGGTCCATATCCTACAGTCACTTTTCTTATCACTTAACACTTAGTTTTCTGGTACTGAATTTTTATATTATGCTATATATCTATCATGCAATTCTCATGTAAAAATATTTGTCCTGTAATTGAATGACTAAAGACTGTAACAGTTTACAAGTATCTAGGCAACTTTCTAAGGTTTCAGGAAATTCCACTCAGTCAGCTGCTCAGCTTTATTTGAAATTTGTAAAGTTGGTCATTAAGAAACTTTCACTCTCAACATTACATTTTTTAGAAGTTGTATTAGCTCAAATATAAACACAGGAAAAGAATTGACTAAGTAAGCAATAAGAGTCAGAGTGATGTCTGAGCATAAAAAGTAGTAAGGGGAGAAAGGAATTAGGCATAAACCCTAAAGGAGGAGTGGGGTCTTGAAAACTAAGAAAGAGGAATAGGGATCTGCCTCAGCAGCTGAGACAGGGAGTTATTCAGGAAACAAGAAATGATTCTCAAGAGGACCAGAGGAGTTGCCTGTTAGGAAAAGGGAATCAAGTAAACTTAACACTGGAACACCTAGACTAGACTAGACTAGGCTATGTCATTTGGAAGGGACCTACAATGATCATCTAGCCCAACTACCTGACCAATTCAGGGCTGACCAAAAGTTAAAAGCATGTCGTTAAGGGCATTGTCCAAATGCCTCTTAAACACTGACAGGCTTGGGGCATTGACTACCTCTCTAGGAAGCCTGTTCCAGTGTTTAACCTCTATGACACGGAAGTACTTTGGCCAAAATGAAGACATACAAGAGGACATTCATGAAGACAGGCTGGCTGAAAGGAAGAAATTTGACAGTGTGAATCATCTTCACACTGGAACTACTTGGATAGACTTGAGGTCCTTGACACCTACATACACATCTTCACTGAACAACAGGGCTTCTCTACATCCTCATGCAATATGTTTGGGCTTGTCTTATGTTCAAGTCAGGGCTGGATGCAGCCACAAGTTGCCTATGGGGACTGCCCAAGTATTCAGTGGCTCACCTGCCATGTGACTGGGTCTACACCATACCAGGAAGTGTTAATGGGAGGCCACAGCCTCCATCGCTGCTGAGATAAATCCAATGATTGCTCTACCAAACATTTAAGTCCAATTAAACTAAATGTAAGGACAGCAGAGATACATCTTTTACCAGAAGCCATTTCCAACCCCACCACACCCAGTGGGAGCAGGAGTGAAAAACCTGTATTTCTTTTAGCATTCCACACAAGCTTAGTCATCTTTTTATCCCCTTCTCATCATGGGAGTGGCTTGGCTGCTAGTTCTATCTTTTCATTCATAAAATCCAATTTAACCTCTCTTGCTAAGAAGTCATGTGGTGGATCTGCAGGCATCACTTCGTCCTGCCTTGAGAGTTTGTGGATTGCCTGTATTCTGATGCGTAGATTTTATGAAGTATTCGTTAGTGTACATACCTGGTGAGCACACAGTCTGAAAAGCATATTGAGCAAGGAAGTAACACCTGTGGCTGTTGGTTATCTAAAATGCTTGCAATGAAATGTTGAAATGTTTCATTTAATATGGCAATTACTGTATGTAACTCAAAAAGAAAAAATCTTTTTTCCAGTATATGCTTCCAGCGAAATACGGAGGCAAAAGAGTAATATCCTTTCTTCTTGTCTGTGTCACATCCTGAATTCTTAACACAGAATGTCCTTAACACAGGCTAAGAAAAGTAGAGCAGGTGTAATCAGACCTAAGATATGCATTTCCTGGTGCAGGTGTCATGAATAGCGTGCCAGCTGTGGCCATCTTAAAAAGCTGGATGAAGTGCCTATGGAGGAGGAATGAGGAAAAGTATGATAAATTCACCTGGCCTATCCCTTTTTCCTGCTGCCTGCCAAGCACTCAGTAAATTGAACACTTAACACAGTAGTTGGGGCGTGGAAGCATCATGCCAAGCTGGAAAAAAAAGAGATAAGTTTAGGAGGAATAAGAAACATAAGGAATGATACAATCTTTATAGACATATTTTCTTATTGGTGTATTAATTCCATGAAAAATTATGTATAATACCTTTGATAGAACTCATATTGGTAAGAGTGGTGTACTGACAGAATCAGTGCCTCTGTGCAACTGTTAGGTTTATCATTTTAATTTAAAAAAAAAAAAGGAAAAAAACCCTATCTGATTACTCTTCCCATTTTGCATGAATAAGTATGACAAATAAGAGTGTCTTTAGTAAGAAACTGACTCCGGGTAATGACTCAAATGCCAACTGTATATGCATTTAGTCTAAGCCAAACCTCTTGAAATTCTAGACTATTGTGTCAAGAAAATATATTCTATTTTTAAAGTACGTCTTTTTTGCTAGAAATTAGTTTTCTACTATCCTCAAGCTAGAACTTTTAACAATGTTCAATTCAGTTGAAAGTGATCTTAAATTCTTCATGAGGAATAAATGTTAATATTCAAATACTAATCTTGAATATTTATGTCTAAATTACAGGTTCCATTCTTTCACCTTGCAGGATCACAGGTGTAGGAATTTATCTTGAGGAAAAAGTGAATTTCTCAGAAGCAAGTAATGCATGTAATCAACTGAATCTACAATTGGCAAGTAAAGACCAAGTTGAAAAGGCTTTGAAACATGGCTTTGAAACATGCAGGTATATGACATCAGTTAGTCTCATTGCCTTTACACACATCTGAGGCTGGTGATAAATCTAATATTAAAAGGACTGATGCTTTTTATTGTAGCTATGGATGGGTGAAAGATGGATTGGTTGTCATTCCTCGGATAACATCCAACAAGAAATGTGGTAAGGGCAACGTTGGACTAGTGCTATGGTATGCTGAACCCTTTAAAACATTTAAGGTTTACTGCTTCAATTCCTCAGGTATGTAAGCATGACAACTACATTTTCATGTTTTGGTTTGTTTTTTGTTTTTTTTTTTTAATATCTGTGGGAAAAAATCATAACAAGTGAGTGAGTTCTTACAATTTGTTGGCCATTTCCCCCCAGTCTTAAATGTTGTCAAGCTGTACTTAGCTCTGCAGGGCAAAAAAGCTTCCAAGAAATACAAAAGATCGATTCAGTTAATCCAAATTAATAATTCGGTGCTGCCATGAAAGCTCTTGAAGAAGAGTTGCTTTTACCATTCTCTAAAGTTGACACAATGGTGTTAATATATTTTGATTATTTAGGCATGTTAATTTGAAAGGCAGTGAATTGAATCTTTAACCAGGGTGTCTGTGTGTGGTGTGTGTTTTCTTGCAAAAAGACCAAGAGTGGGGTACTTCAGAAAAAGTTGAACGTTTTTTGATAAAAGGAAATGTATCCATTAAACTAAATTAAAATATAAGCTAGAACAGCTAAGAGACCATAAAATTAACTAGATTACCAATCTATTATCAGTAAAATCAAACAGCTTCCTTTAATGTGCATCATCCTATGTGTGAAAAGACCTGTCCTTCCCCTCATTCTTGACTGTCTATTCCCAGATTGAAGATACGACAGTGGAACTTGGGCCTTGATATAAGTTAGATCTTCTCAGCACAGTAGATCAGTATTGTTTCTTAATGACTTCTGTGGTATTAACTAAAAATAAGTATTTAACTAGAGGCATTGTGTTTCTGCTAGTGTCCCATATCTATGGTTATTATATAACAACTATCCCAATAATTAGACCATATACAGGATCAATAAATTATTTCTAATCAGTCCCTAAACTTTGCCAATGAGTTTTAGATAACAAGTGCAAGAGATTATGTACGAAATCCTGAAATTTTTCAAGAAAGATGTGTGAACAAGGGTTGGAAAGAGCAGGAGAAAGATGGATATGCAAGATACGCCCATGCAAAGATATAAAGACCTAAGACCATGTCTGGTGACTGTGGACATTGGAGCTTACGAAGAGACTGAGGATAAAGCTGTTAGGGAGAAGGCCATGCCTTTACCAGTGGGACTTTGTTCATGATCCGGGGCCATTTTAGTGAAGGAGGGTAGGTAATATAAGTAGTCCGCTTACAAAGTGTCTGACTGCTGATAAGAAAGCACTGCAAAGAGAAAGCACCATTAAAAATTGATTTATCACCTAACCTGTAAAGTTAAAAATTACATGATTGGGCTAACTTAGTTTTTTTCTACAGTCCATAGCTTTTATTGATGAATGCACAGGTGAATTAGTACTCGGGCAACATGCTCTGAAAGAGGCTGCTCCTATTAGTACTGTTATTTCTTCTGTTCCTGTGTAACATGGTGTTTCAGTGCATGAAATATATGTCATTCTGCCTCAGAAACATTGCGTAGGTTGGGTAATGCTAAGGAATTAGCAAGTAATTCCAAATTACTTGCTTTGTTTAGCTTTAATTTTAAAAAATTATACTGTTACAGTATGTGAAGAAAGTTAAGCTTGCTGAATGGTTAGAAAATAATGTATATTTAACATTTACATGATTCTGCATTTCTTTACCTTAATTGCCAAATTGTTGCCTGTTCTAGGCATTTCTTACCCAAAATATTTGGGAGAAGCTCATTCTGTCAATTTTCTTTGTGCCAAAGAAATGCCAAAATCACTTGAAAACTGTAGTGGAAAAAGTAAAAAGCCCCTGCCATTTAGCTTTTTATTCTGTGAATGTAACTGCGTCATCAGACTTCCCATGGGGATTCATTTGGAGAACAGTACATACGCCGTTTCCCTGTTATTTATGTTGTAATCTGCTTGTTACTTTAGTGAAATTTTTATAGCTTTACAGAATACAGAACTTCACTAGAAAAGAAGAATTTTCACATTTTCATATGAGCCTGATTCAGAACTCAGCTTTTCCATTTAATATAAAAGTCCACTTGCACCCACGTTTTTATATAGACAACATTCACATCATTTAAATGACTTAATTTCTAGGTGTGCCTGAAGTTTTTTTCCTTCTAGCCCCCATTAGAATCGTGTCACTTTTTTATCTCACACTGGTGCCTGGTTTACCTGAGAGTTTTATGGGCTAATTTGTTTCCAGGAAAGCAGAGCAGTGTTCCAAGTATCAACAGTGCATGCGTATGTTTTGAACATATACATAATATAATGGAAATATTTTTTAATCTTGGATCTGCAGTTGTCTCCTGCTCTGCAGGAGGTCACATTATTGGTTTTTATATGCATTATTGCATATAAAAGTACTTTTCAGGAGGAATTGTCATTGATATGCAATTACAAAATGAGCGCCACACTTGCTCAAATAAGTGTTTAATTATGCAAGTAATGATAAAAGGTGCATAATCTGGGTTGTAGCCACATGTTTGAAATAGGCATGCCTGATTTGGGTAAAGCTTTTGTGAATAAACAAATAATAATTTTCATAAGGGACTGACTGAGGAACCATTTCAATAAACATGTGTGTACAGTAATTACAGAACTAACACCCAACACAACTCTTATGTATTTTCTTTCCCTGCTGCAGATATTCAGATTAATTCATGTAAACCAGATCCAACTACAACCATACTACCTTCATCAAGTGCACCAATGGACTTAACTGCATATTCAGTCTCTGATTTGACTGAGAACATCACAGCAGTGCCCAATGTGACTGAGTCAGAACAATCCCCGAAAAATATAAAATTTCGCGTAATATGTATAACTGAAACTATATTACCAACAGAGGGGACTACTACAAAAATGCCGGAGGAATACTCACCAATTGACTCTCCTAACTACACTTCCCATGCTGCCTTTAAGAATGATGCCATTGTCTTTGGAGGTAAAGGCAATATATGGTAGCTATTTAATCAGAAAAGCTAGTTAAGTAGATGTTAGTAGTAAAACTGTTTACTGCTATTTTTGTTTGCTACTCCAGCATCCATTTTGATATAGATGAACCTGGAGGCAGAATAGAAATGTTATGGTTTTGCAAAAGCAAAGCTTATAAGACAGAGGATTTTAAAATAATTTTTAAGTAGAAGTAAGATCTTATTTTATACTTTTTGATAATTTTTTAATATGAAATGGTGGAAGTTCATTCTGGTTAAAGTGACTTGGGGTAAATACATTTCTGAGAAAGTCTTAGCAAATACCATGTGCTCAGAGTAATGGAAAACTCAGCAGGCTCTTAAAAACAAAAGCCAAGAAAGTTTTAAGGAGAATTGTTGTTCTCCAAATACGGAGGTGTTCTCGAGATATGAGGTGTGAATAAGTAATCCTAACATACAGCAACTGAGAAATAGACTAAATATGAGGAAAAGCATTCTAACTGTAAGGATAGTTAATCACAAAAATGTGTTCTCTAGTCAGGTTGTAAAAACCCTCCAATGAGCAGATTAGACAAACAAATGTCAGGGATTGTCTAAATACCTGTTTTAGTCTTTCTTGAAAAATGAGCAGGAGTAACTAACCTTTTGAGATTCCTAATACCTCTATTCTTGAGTTGATGTGTTTGTACCTCTTACACTAGGCTGTTTTGGAACAATCTGGATTTATGCTCATGAGCCCTTAGAAAGTCAGAGTTAAGTACATATAAAAACTCTATGCTTACCTCACTTTTATCTCTAGGTATCCCCACTGCACTTCTTGTACTGGCAGTCATCTTCTTCATTATTTCAGTTGTTCTAGCAGTCTGCTATATCAAAAAGTAAGTTTTTTCTTTTTTTTTCTTGGACTGATTTAACTCCTAGAGTACAACCAATGACTATTTTAAACATATAGCTAGAGAGCAGATAAGTAATGATAATGACATAACAGTGTAGCACAAAGAATAAAATTTTAAACCCTGTCGTTATGCAGATAAAGTTAGTTGTTGATGTTGCCATTCCCTGCTTTAGGAAAGGAACCAAAGACAAATATTGCCTATTTTTAGTAGTCAGTCATGCCTAGTGTGAAACATTTCCAAGTGTGCCAAAACAGCAACACTGAAGTGTGCATCTGTTTGTACATAAGCCTGTTTATGCAGTTTTATTCTTGTTTCTTTCAATGTCAGACTCAAGGTAAAAGTTTTTATTCTTGGACTATGATTGTGTTCAGAGAAAAATAATTGTTGAGCTCGTTTGGCATGCGCAAAGATCTTCAACACAATGCATCATTAAATCATATCAAAAAGTTGTGGGCATTTCTCACATTCTAGCCCAGATAGCTTTATCGTTATGTACCACAAATCCTGAATATACATTGTTTTTTAAAAAAAATACGAAAATATTTATTTAAAAAGCACACTGCTTGAAAAAACACAATGATCTATCATGCCACTATTCTCTATGAGACTTTTGCTTGAGTATGGCAAAGAAAGTTAATTCTAGATATTTTTCACTTTATTTCTTGAGTGATACTACCAAACTATGTCAGTGTTTCTGCTTTACTATCCTTTTTTCTATTTAAAGGTACAAGAAAACCTTCCCATTTTCAAACAAGAATCAGAAAAAAGAAATGGTTGAAACTACTGCTCTCAAAGAGGCTAAGTCAAATGACAAAACACCTGAGAAGGAAACAAAGAATAATGGAAAAAAGGTAGAAGAGTCTAAAACCAAGCCTGAGGCCACAGTAAAATGTCTAGAAGCAGAAGTTTAAGGGGAAGAATGTACACTTCTTGATAGAAATATAAAATGAAGCACACAGAACTTAGCAATGCTTTTAAATATGGGTGATTGTAAATACTCATGAATGAATATTTTCTCTATCTTAACATAGGAAAACTTGGTTTTTTTAATAATTACATCTTTAGCTATAATTGCTCTTGCAGAAGAACATGGTATCTTATTTACTTGAAATAAATAAAAAATCCATATTACAGCATATTTTTCATCCTTAGTAAAGGAATACGCTATTAACGACACGCAGTGTGTTAACTATTTGCATGGAATTCAGATCAATATATAATTAAAAGGGTTTTTTTTATCTGGCTGGATGATGTCTGCTAACTTAATGTCTAAAATAAAATGATGATACTATAGCTCTTCCTCATGCAGATTAGCTTATTTCCATACTGTTGCATACTGTTTTAAAAATTCTGTTTACAAACAGAAGAAATTAGTCTGTTTACAAATGAGTAAAAAAATCAAAGGATCAACCCACTGTCATTCAAATACCCAAGGAAGGGTACAAAGATGCTGATGTTTATATATATACAGCAATGAATAACTTTCTTAGATATCTTCGTATCATAATTTACTGTTTTATTTATTAAAACCTGTATCATTCTTCTGCATCAGACATTTGACAGGGGAAGAAAAAACCTTGAACTGTATCTCAACAGTTATATTTAAGATCTTTTGTGTATATTTAAGTGTGGCTTTCATAATAAATATCTCAAGTGGTATGGGACGTTTACAGTACTTCATAAAAAAAAATAAAGTATGGTAGATATGTTTGTCTGGACAATTTATTCTCACGAAAACTATCTCACAGTAAAAAGAGCTCATATAACCTTAATGTTACAGAAGTAATTAGTTGTTACGAAAGAACAACACTAGCAATTTATCAAATATTTTCTTGAATAAGTGGTTTGGATAACTTATTTTTATACATGAAGGAGGTTATTATGGCAAAGAAAGTTTCTTTTTAGATCAAGCAGCTTGAAAAACATAGTCTTAAATAAAATAGCAATAGAACTGTTCACCTATATTGTGTCTTCTACAGTGTAGCATGCTGGGTTATGAACTTTCATTTTTTTGATTCACAGAAATTTAAAAATTGCCCAGTGTATATTGCAGTAGATAGTGAGTTACAGTGTATTGCTAGTAGCATAATTAGAGATTCCTTGTGTTGTTTTTTGTTTTCTCTCTCTCTCTCTCTCTTTTTTTTTTTTTTTGATAGCTCAGAAATATTTCATGGCTTCAAGTGTTGATACGCAGTCCACCACTGCCATTAAAGCTATACTACTGCAGAAAGACTGTGATTCAGTACAGCTCTAAAAACCACTAATTTCAGATGTCCATTAACAGAATTTCAGAAGAAAAATGTGTAACAGAGGAAAGCACTTCCCACTCAGTTAAGTAATTCCTCTCCTTGCAAAATACCGCAGTAATGCCACACATCTCTCCTGGCAACCTGAATGAAACCACTCTATGCCATGTGAGCAGTGAGAGTAGACAGCACAAATAAGGCCATCAGGAAAGGCCACAGCCAACAGTTGTCATGACGGTGTCAGAATAGCTTAAGGACACAGGAAACGCTAGTGGATTCCAGGTAGTTTTGGGCTTTTTTGTGACATATCACAATTTCCGTTCTGCCTCTCTTTTCCATGTTTTAGAGATTAGAAATTGCTTGTTTCTCTGTTCTTTTCCACATCACTAAGAGATAATTATCTATCACTTCTTTTACTCTCCTACTAATAATACCTCTGTTCCACAGGTATCAACTTCCTTTTCTCCCAGATTATCTCATTCACACCTAAAGTTGTTCAGAAAATTGTTCTCTAGTTCCACTCTGGCTGGAAGTTTGTTGCTTCTGTTTTAGATCTAAATAAGGGCTTTTTTCCCCCTGAAGTGTGTACTTTCTAAGAAATCTATACTAGCTGATATAATAAGGTATTGCCTTAACCTATAAATGTCTTGTTACACTGTTCTGTATGTAATAAAAGCTATCTATAAGTCATAATCAACAAGTACTGTATTTGATATTGTCTGTATATAATGAGTATTACTCAGTCACATTTGAATTAGTACAAAATTTCTTGCTCATTGTTTAATAGAATTGCAATGGATGTACCACTACAAAGCAAACAGGAAACATTTATTTAAGTTCTAGACAGGAAGCGTCAAAAACCCAAACACTTAATTTGCAGTAGCAGAAACTAAAGAGAAATTCTTCATTATGTTTCTGACTTTTCTCAAGTGTCGTGCCTTTTTTTACGAGACATTCTCAACAGCTATGAAGTTCATTGATGTCTCAGGAATTGCATTATGCTCAAGTATCTTGGACAAATAATTCATTCCACCTAGCAGGAGATCAGAGTTTGTATTAGTCATTTGACAGTAACGCTACTCGGATTCCCACACTGAGGCTACAGATGTTTGCTGACCTTAGGTGAAAGGGGTGGTTGGCCTGCAGGAAATACAGCGAGGTTCCCAGTCCAGCCCAATCCCTGTCTGGAATACAGGGGTGCCTTTATCGTGGGAAGTACGTGTGTCTATGTGTGAACAGAAGCGGGCAGGAAGGGGAAGTACTACTCCTTTTCTCCTCTTTAAATTAAAAAACAAAAAAAAACCTCCTCTAGAATTAAAACTTGAAGCATCAGGATGCGGATGACCTAGAGGATGTTCTAGGATTTTTGTTCCTAAATGGCTTGTTATCATTTATGAGTGTTGGGTTTTTTTTTGTAAAAAGGTCAGTGAGCATTGGCATTTGCCACACACATCTAACTCCCCCATCCTCCATGCAGACCGGGGTGCTCTCTTCCCCCCTGGCTGTTCTGGCGGGGTGGGGGCATGTTCTGCACCAGCAGTTGCTGGCCTGTGATGATCCCACCAAGGCAGGCACTCAGACTCCATTAAGAATCATTTAAACTGCTATTTACTAGAGCTAAGAGAAAAGAGAGAATAGTATACGTAGTCTTATGTCCCTTCAGACACTGGGAAACCTGAGCTGTGCAGCATTGTGTGGGCATCTGCTGAGGGTGCAGAAGTCCCGTCTGTGGAAAAGTTACCCCATTTTGGTCACTCAAGCTAGTACTGGATTTTTCTTAACAGAAAACAACTCTATACACCACTTCTGCTGCAGAAAGGATGTTCAGGCGGGGCCTGCTCCGCTGAAATGTAACGCGACCGTCGACTCCCCGTGTGCAACGGTCTTCCAGCGCGGATCACTACCGCGCAGCGTCGCGGGGCAGTGCCGCCTCTCCCCCGCTGGCCCG